GTAGCTGGACGTCAGACTGTAGCCTCAGAGAATTTATTAACAGAAGATTTCACTAATTAGAAGACAAATTCCAATTAAGTTCAGCCCAAACCACATCTTGTGGGATAGGGATATAGTGAAGTTATCTGCAACATTTGCTAAAAATGAGCATGGTGCTTTACCAATAGGCAAGAATTCGAAGGGCAGATGTTGAGTGAAAAGAAAACAAACATGGGGTGGAGAGAGAGCTCAACAGTTAAAAGCACTTGCTATTTTTGCAAAAGATGTAGATTTGGTTCCCAGAGCCCATATCAGGTAGCTCACAGCATTAACTCCAATTCCTTAGATTTGATGCCTTCTTCTGGCCTCTTTGGGTACAACAGACTCCTGGTATACATAGAGACAAGCCAAGTAACACACACATACACACACCATTTTTAAAAAGAAACAAAAGACTATATATGTATATTTATGCTCATTAGTAAGATATCGAGAAAAAGCATAACTAATTCATAGTAATAGGAATGAGAGTAATATCATTTGAGTTGGAAGGATGTTCATCATTGGCAAGAATCCTGAAGAGATTTTCTGGGTTCTAGAAGAAAGGTGGGGGATGATGGCTCAAATGGAGAATAAACATTATGAAAAGAGTAAAATCAAAATTAGTGTGTTTTGTTTTGTTTTCTGTTTTTATGTTCAAAGGACCAGTTTTCAGCTGACAAAGTGCTTTTCCATTTCATCCAATATTCCATGATACAGGTTAATCTCAAACTGATACATGAAGGATGCGATATTTGGTCCTACTTCCTTTTAACAGATCTTATAACATCTTTCTCTTTTCTCTTTCTCAAATTTTCTCACTCATCTTGCTGTCTCTATTTCTAACAAAGCTGCATACAGCATACAGTGAGAATTCAGTAAATAACCTGTTTGAATAAAGGACTGAGTGATCATATTGAAGGCTAAATGTAGTATAATGTAGTATTTATGGAATTCATGCCAGTTTTCACAGCCTGTAAAACACTTGACTTGGCTAGTTAGCTCATATGTCAGGTATTTTGCTATTACAGACTAATATACTTTTACAATGTGAGGATTGGTTAAACAAAATCCATGTGGTTTTCTGATCAGTTTGACCAGTGTTTTCTCATCTGTGACTTAAATGCCATTTATTTCTTTGCCACTGTTTATAATTTTTTAAATAGAGGCATAGGATTGGTTGTAAATAACTAATTGATGGAGCTTGGAACTTGGATTTTAGACAATAACTAAGAGCTCCTAGCACAGTCATGTCTTCCTTTCACCTGTTAGGCCAGCTCTATGGCTTCCTAGCTGAATTCATTTTGTGTTACTTTTCCAGAGAAATTACTATTTTGAAGTTATAAAAAAAAACTTGTCAAAACCAATAGTAGTGCTAAAGTCAACTCATAGCTTTTTGATATGTGCTTTCAGTTTAATAATGATATTAAAAATTTTTCAAGAATCTAAAGGTATTTGTAAACTTAGTTAACTCTTAAGTACTTTATTAGTTATTTATTGCCTACCATGTGGTTTTTATCATCAAGGTGGAAATAGACAAATGCTGTTTACTAATTACACCTTGAATCTCTAATTTCTGCCTTTTGTGTTGTAATAAGAAATACATGATGTAGGAAAAACATTTTTTATTAATTCATCCTAGATTTTTAACTTTATGTTTGCAAATAGTACTCAGTATAAGCTATAGCATGTGTATTGATAAAATTATGGGATAAACTTACCTAGAAAAAACTATCTTTTTATTCTGCTTGATTAATATTAAACACTAAAGAAAATTTCAAAAGGAACTAACCAAACACACTTGAGATACAGGATTTTGCAATGGATTTTGATTAAGACAAGAGTGTGGTAGAGCAGTGTGTCAATAAAGTCATAATAGGTTTTGGTCTGAGTCAAGAGAACTATCAGAGAAAACTAATAGGAGTAAATCTGTTGCTTACTTGATAAATTATGAAAATGTGGATTATTTCAGCCGCAATTCTTACTCTTTCAGTCCAAAGAGTCTTCTCTGTAAATTAATGAAATTTGTTACACACGTGTGTAACACATACTGACCTCTCTCACCCCAGGCTCTCCCCAGTACCTCTGGCTATCCTCCTTCTTTACAAATCTTTTTTATCATTTTCATGTCTGTTCATTTTGTTTTGTGACCCACTAAGTTTAACCAGAAATATCAATGTGACCATAGGTTTAAGACTAAATCCTGCAGCCTGGTGGGTCACGCTGTAGGTACATAATTTAAGACAATGACTCCCCCCCCCCCTTTTATAGTGCATCAGTAGTTACTGGTTTAGCAATGAAGGCTAGAGGCCTGTGAGCCCCTTCCATGACTGGTTGTTGACAGGTCCAGTCTTTTTGTGGGGATCCAGTTTAGGTAACTGCAGTTGCTATGCATTTGATTTCAATGGTTGTATCATAGCTAGAAGATGACATTTTCAATACTTTACCCTATTTTCTGGCTTTTACATATTTTCTGTCCCGTCTTCTGTATTGTTCCCCAAGCCTTCGATGGGGATGGTATAAATGTCTTGTTTTAGGGTTGAGCCCTCCGCTATGACTTATACTCACTGTTCATGGGGCTAGCAGAAGTTGTGACTCAAGAGTCTTATTTCTAATTTTCTAGGTAATATTTATTCAACACCATAATGAAAGTATTTATTCTTCCAGTTTATAAATTATCAGATTATATATACATATAAAATACTACCATATAGCATAAAAGAGTGATGCTCTGATCTTTGCTAACATTATTTATAAAAGCAGTCTCTATTTTAGCAAAGGAGGGAAAATAGGGTATAAGTACCCCCAAATAATTATTATTGAAAGTTTATATGTATAGGATGTGATGAAACCATATGACTGATGACAAAATTGGAAGGTTTGTTAGAAAATGTTCTAAAAGATGTTCAGAAACTAACTCTGACTCTTAACTTGCTATGTGAAATTCATTTTTCTCATCTATAATGTGAGTATAAGAATATCTAACATTTAAAATATTTTAGGATTATCTTCATTTTTTAATTTAATATTTTATATTAACATTGACTTCATTCAGTTTAAAAGGATTTGAAAACAGTACTTTTACATGACTTTTGTTTATATTTGTTTTTGAAATAGTGGTCTTACTATGTAGCCCAAGTTGACTTTGAATAGAAGAAAAACTATAAAATTACTGTAATTCCAAAACAACTCAAAACTACACACACACACAGTTTCTTCTAATTCAGTAATGAAAACAGTGAAAAAAGAATTTTCTGTAGCGTACAACATGGACTTTTATGTTTTGTTTAAATATCTCAATTTCCTTTTTGTAAATATACTATGTATAGTAATTCTTAGATTTAAGTGTCTTAATACTTGAATACTTTCACATAACTACTTTTTTATACTATGAAGGGAAAACACATTTGAACTTGAAATGGTCTCCTGTCTGATATCCAATAAATAATGTCCTCTGAAGGAGAAAATTTCCATACTACTAAAGATTTGATTTTATGTTTAATAAAGTTTCTGTAAATATGATCATCTTCAGGAAGAGAGGTTGCCAGTTACTAGGAAGAAATAAAAAATTTAATACCACACCATTTTGAAAATCTTCAAGTGGCAGGCCTCTTCTGTTTCAAGAGTAGGTACACCAAGGAGTACATTCTATTTTACTGTCTTAGGAACTGCTGGCTTCTTCTTAGGGAGACCAAAATTATTTCCCTGTTGTCCTTAGAACTAGCAATGCCTGTACATACTGTGCTAACATCTTTGAGGAGCTTGCATTTGTTTGGTACTGTAAAAGCTGCATATGAAAATAATTTTATTTTATACTTAGTAAATGGATATACTCTTTGTTGTGGATATATGCTTTTTATTTTAGGCTCTAACTTAAGAATTATAATTTTGAAAGTCCATTATACATTAAGGTAATAACAGATACAATATCTACATTCAGTTTTGGAAAAAGTTGTAGAGAGAGGAGAAGAGCTATCAATAGTTTACTTTTGTTAACATGGCAAATGTGTATTTTCCTAACAAAACTTTGAAATTGGCTTATAATAAACTCAGAACTAGAGGTGCATATTTTCTCTGAATTTCTATTTGATATATGTTGTGCAGATTAATAGGGTGTTTTAAGTCATTTTTTCCTTCCTCTCTTCAGAGTGATCTTCACTTATGCTACAGGTTCCTCCCAGGTTAGAAAGCATGTGGAGTGGCAATTCCAAATTGCACTATTTATGACCCTTCTGGGCCCTCTCAAATGTGAGCAAATGATTTCTGTCACTGGGCTGGTGTAGTGTCTTTTAGTTTAAGCATAAATTAAGAAGAACAACAAAATCCAGAAAGTGGAACTAGGAGGGCATTGTTGTAAAAAAAAAAAAGTGGTTAAGAGGGATAAAGGTAAAAACGTTGGAGCCACAAAAGGATGAAGTGAGTGCCTTTGCTCAAATTCCTGTATAGGAACTAAGCTCAATTTTCCTTGCTCCTTGGACTTGATTTCCTGGGGAGGCATTTACATTTTGGGGTCAGTGGCCAAAGCAGGAGTCTGACAGGCTGATGGGAGTGAGTTTCCAGGGTGGAATTTGATGCTAGACTCCAGGGCTCTTGGGTGCAAGGGCTGCTGCTAGGTATTTTTTTCTTTCTATTTTTTTCTTTTCTTTTCTTTCTTTCTTTCTTTCTTTCTTTCTTTCTTTCTTTCTTTCTTTCTTTCTTTCTTTCTTTCTTTCTTCCTTTTTCTTTTTCTTTTTCTTTTTTTTTGTTATGGCTGATAAGGAAAAACTGTCAAAAGGACTTTTCAGGGTCGCCATGTCTCTATGGTGGCCACTGCTTGGATAAGCATAAGCAGGTTGCTGGGTCCAGGACTCAAGCTCCCTCGCGGCAGCCCGCTGAGGGTGTGTTTGCAGCCAACACGGGGCACTTAGCCTGCTGTGGGAGGGCGGGGTGGCTATATCGGTTGTGGGGCATGCGCGGCTCTGAGCGCGGCTTCTCAAAAATGGCGGCGGCAGTGTGAACTCTGGTGTCTGCTCCGGGAACTAGCATGACAGAAGTTTTGTTGCTAGGGCGGAGGAGACCCGAGGTGCGTGGTGCCCCCGGCCCCCCATGGGGAGTGGCTACTAAGTTCTGGTGTTGCAGTCCTGATGGCTGTCTGCTGGGCGGGCGGTGGGGAGCCTTAGGGGCACGTCCTGCGCTGGGAACGCCCCCTTACTGCCGCGCCAGCGTCCCGCCTCAGTTTGTCCCGACACCCCTGTCTCACACCCCTGGACTCTTTACCCAGATGCCACGGCTGCCGTGTCTCACTTAGTGTTCGCTGTAGGCCACTTTGGCTGCTAGTGCGCAGTGCTGCCCTTCACACTTGCTCGGAGCCCCTCCACTGGCCCGTCTTGCTGCAGGCATTCTGGCCCCTGGCCCAGCTCCCTCGGAGGGCCCCTCTCCTGCAGTGCCGACAGCGCCCTCTGCAATTCTCCCCAGGGTAGGTGGGACCAGGCTGAAGCCTGGGGGCTTTGAGGGTGGTTGGTAGGGTTGAGTGGGGCAGAGGATGACTTCTTTGCAAGGTTTGGGTTCAGATCAGGATTTGGGAGGTAACTTGGATTTGCGGAGGGGATGTCAGCCTAGAAAGATGCGCCTGTGGCCTGGAGCCCGCGCGGGTCTGGTGCCAGGTGTGTGCTTGGGGCTCCTTGCGGGGGTGGGGTGAGGTGGGGGTGGGGGGTGTTAGCTCTTTAGAGTGGATACCTCCTGGATGAAGTTGAATGGGAAGGCATGGACAGACTCCTCCTGAAAGGGTTTAGGCGAGGGGATGTACTCAGTCAAGGTTTGAGAATAGTGACCACTGTTCCTTCCATTTGAAAACAGCCCTGTAAAGGTTCCCCGCCTTTATTGATTTTTGTTTTTAAATCCTGACTAGTATTCCAAGAGTCTGGAAAAAAAGATACGAGATATGAGAATTTGAGATCTAATCCAACTCATTTATATATTTATTTATTTATTTATTGGTGTCTTGAGCCACATATGTAGCTACAAAGAATGAAGAGTAATTGCCCCTCTCCCCTCCCCTCCAGTCCAGTGTTGTATGTGGGCAGCTCACATACTTACTTATAGGTTCCCATCTGAGAATATTGATGTTTTGAAGGTTGTTAAGCATTTGTCGTTCATCACAAAGTATGATTACAATTAGAAATGTCTATTTTTGAAAAATGAGAACATTAACCTTTAGTATTTACCTTTAGGGTGACTTTAGAATGTCTTTTGAAAGTAAATGGATTGGTTACCAAGGGTAAACTGAGGCAGGAAAAATATCTTTTGGTGTATGATTTTCAAAAATATTGGAGATGCTTTTTTCTCAGAGAACTTCAGCTGTTGCAGTCTCAGTGTTTCCAGGGACATTATTATTATTATTATTTTCAGTTTGAGGAAGAATATTGGAAGATATACTTGAGTACAAGGAGTTTTTTTTTAATAGTAGTTATTAGCACATACTTAATTTTATCTAATGATTGCTTTGAAATGTTTTCACTAATGTCAGTTTTACCTTTGTTTTGCCATTCTGTTTTTCTTCATTAAGTAACCTTTTTGTAATGATGGGTGTTCTTTTAAGCTGTTTGTGGTTTTCTGGATTTAATGGGAAGAATGTGAAAATAAGTTTTGAAAGTGAGTCTAGTTAGGATTTTGAGAAGGCAGTGAGTTTGTTACCTTACATTGATCTATAGCTTTATCATTTTAAAAATAATCGGAATTTATAAAAGGACTTAGTCAAATCATTAAAAATAGCTTTGAAAATTTTGAAGAAGATGTCTGTCCTCTAACTATGTAAGTTCCTTATGCACGTGTTTACCCAAGAGAACTCCTTTGCTTTAGAGTTGTTGTTAGGGGAAGAAAAGATTACCGTAACTGGTTTTGCACTATCTGTATGAGGTTGTTTTAAAATTGATGATGTCATGAATGTACACAGTTGCTCTTAAACATCGATTCTTATTTGTCACGAGGCATTTGGTCAGCCTTTTTGATTTATGGCTCAGTTAACAGGTCTTCATTAAGCCACCTGTGCTTTTTTATTTTATGGAATTCACTCAGTTTGAGGTATATTTATTCAAAGCCCATTTTGTGTTTCAGTTTCTGGGTGTTTAAGGTAACCAGTTCCACCAGTAGTACCTTATTTCTGTATATTCCAAGGTTGCTAAGGAAATCATAATTGATATAGAACATGTATTTCTTTGCCTAATGGTTAAATTTGAGTATTTTTGCCACTGTTCTTTACATTTTGGTTGTAACCAAGAATTATTTCTGATTAGGCCTGTGGGAGACGGGTATTTTTGCTAATATTAGTTAAAATCAGTTTGCATATTGGAAATTGAGTATTTTAAAATGATAAGCAATTGCACATTTATGACCAAGTAGCTTACGTTATAACTAGATTTAAAAAGTACTTTTATTATTTCAAAATATATCTTAAATCTCCCTAAAGCCAAAATTATAAGGCTTATGATAGTCACAGACTAGATGTGACGCTCATTTTTTTGAGTGTGTTCCTTTTTAGCTGCCTGCCTGTTCCTCCCAGATGCTTCCTATCACCTCTTTTCCTGCCCCTGTTCTCTTCTGTTAGTGTCTGTTTCCGCATTAGTGAAATGGTCTGGGTAATCCTGGGCTGTCTCAAGAAGAAATAATTGATGATGGTAAAGTGCCTTAAAAGACTGAGTAAATACTAGGTCTTTTGAATGAAAATGACTTATCCCCTTGTTCCATTATAAGGTAGTTCCAAATACAAACTTTTAGTTTGAATTCTTATGGGGGGTATTTTACTTGAGATTTTTATTGCCACTCTCTTTGGGTTAAGTGGAATACTGCGGTAAATGCAAGAGGACCCTCTGTTCTTTGAGCACTAGTCACCTTTTAGAAACAAAGCCATTAATGTCAGAGAGTTAGTCCATGGGATCTTCAGATTAGAAGTGATTGTAGAATTTGAAAACCTGGAAACTTGACAATAGTCAATGTTGGTGATTTTAAAAGTTCACCTTTAATGGAAAGTCTTGATACTCCCTTTTCCTGAGGGATACAGAAGAATGTCAGTTTCACTTACTAACTCCAATGTTGTATAATTTACTTACTTAATTTTATAAATATAGGAATAAAATAGTGTTAAGTATGTTTTCACACTTAGTAGCTTGGGCTTTGGTTACTTGAGACATAGAAATACCTTTACCTCTAATGTCTTATTTGTGTAAAGTCTAACAGAAATGATAGTAAATTGAGAAACAATCTAAGATTTGAAATGGACATATGTTGTTGGGTATTCATGAGTAAGGCATTTTTGGTTATTTTGCCTTTGTTACCTGGTATAAGTATACCGTGGTAACCATAGAAATAATAGTAATGGTGTTTATATCGTGATTTCTATTAAACATAATGTCCCTAAATCTTTCTCCTGCTTTTGTTTTGGGAATCTGGTGGGATTTTTTTTAAACATGAAATGAGGATAACTTATTATGCGAAAAGTTGAGTGATTTTCAGTTCAAACAGCTGGATATGCTGGTGTTTTAGAGACTATATGGACTCTTTAAAGTGTTAAAAAGTGGAGTAAACTTGTTGAATTTTTGTGTGAGTAAAGAGCTGGGAAATATTTGAAGATAGAGAACACTTAACTCCTCTACTTGTAACTTGTGTTTATGGCTGTGGGTCTGCCCCTTCCTAAGTTTATGGACCAAATTGTTCTAAGAGCGGAAAGAGAGTACCATTGTAAACTTCCAAAGTGACAGACACACTGCAGTTCTATGATATACTTGAGGATACTTTTCGTTTCTTGGGGAACAACTTGCATGTCTTGCTTCTTGTCTTCGTAATACACATCACAGTTTTCACAGCATTTATTTCTCAAAAGGATTAGCTAGTTCAGAATTCCAGACATAAACAACTCTATTTGATATGTACCTTGTAGCCTTTATTAGTTTTGTAAGAATGAATGTTGTCAAAGTCCTTGGTTTTAATATTTGGTCACTTTTCCTACCTTTTATCAATTTTGGCTAGCTTTTATTTTTATTTATATATACTTAAATTCAAACACTAATTCAAATGTACTTAAGTTTTCTTTTGAACACAGAAATATCCTTGTTGCTGTGAAACTGGTTTTTTTTCCTTTGAAAATAATTTAAAGAGTATTATTTAGATTACACTTTAAAGTTATTTTGAAGTAATGTCCATATTCAATTTTTAACTGACTTGATAGAGTTTCATAAATATGCTCAGATAAAGCAATCTTTGTAGTCATTGTTGAGATAAAATAGACATAATGACAAATACATGTGTGTATTCCTTAACTTTATATTACTTTATAACTTATTTTTTTTTCATTTTAGATTTCAGAAGTTATAGAGCTATTTAGATGAGTAGTTTGAAGATACCTGCTACATGTTTGATATAGAGTCAGGGATGTTTCGTTTTCTAGTCACTTTAGATTTTAGTTTACTGCATGCTTTTCTCCACTGTTGTTTAGTAGGCACGGTTGTCATCATTTCCATTATTTCTTGTTGGACTGCTGTTAGAAACCATAAATCTAGGTTGCACTGATAATAGAAGCAGGCTGTAACTTGATCTATGTCTTTTGTCAAAGTATAACACCATGAGCTGCCTGTAGTAAATTGACATGCCATGCCATTAACTCTAGCCCTTCACAAATGTCAGTGGGCAGCAGGTCTTCGGGTAATTAGCTTGTGGCTGTGCTTTAAAACCGTAGGAATTTACAACTATAAACTGGAATTTTGGCAACCCTTGACTTGTATTTCATTTATCTATTCTCTTATATAAAATGCTGCCTGACTGTGTACAGAACTTCCACATGAATAATTTTAAAATGGCAAGTGATTCTTTAATTTGTAAGTTATAATTTTTAAATAACTTAAAAATACAACTAATGAATGCTTTTGCATGCGTGCTCTCTCTCTCCCCCTTCTCCCTCCGTCCCTCCTCCTTCCCCTCTCTCTGCCAGGATCTCAGTAGCTCCCACTGACCTTGAACTCATCCTCCAGTCTCCACCTTCCAAGTGATGTTGGATTTATTTTGACACACAAAAAGACTAATTTCTAATTTCTTGGGGGTAGATCTTGTTAAAAGATTGCTAAAATATTTCCTATAGAAAATTTTATTTCCATTGGAAGATTCAATTTGATGCAAATCCTTACTACCATAATATTCTAAGGATTGGTGAGTCACCAATGGACTTTTTATTCCATTTTATCCTTAGTAATATTTTACTTTTGAGACATAGTTAGTTTCCCTATTTGTCATCTTATCTTCTTGACTTAGCTTCTTGTGTGCTGGGATTTACAGAAGTGTGTCACCATGCCTGGATATTTTTTAATGTATTTGTGCAATTTAGGTTTTTTTCTAATTACTTTCATTTATGTGTAAAAGAGGGACTTTTGATTATTTTAATAACCTGGGTGAATTAAATTCATAATCGTAAAGTCTTAGCATAATAAATCA